GAGACAGAAGACCTTAAGAAACACACCACCTCCATATGGGGATCAGGAAGGAACACGTGCACCTATGACTCCCTACGGCCCACACACTTCGGCAAGGCACAGCCAAAAATCAGTACCCTGGAGAGGACTCACTGCCACCCAACCACCAGGGGAGCGCTGTGGGTGCCAACATGAATGCAACCTGTGAATGTGGTCAGTGAGCAAGCTGTGGATGCTATTGTGCCAACTATGCCTCAGAAAGTGAGCCTTCCTGTCATGGGGAAAGTCTCTATATCCAAGAAAAGGAAATGTGGCCACCACAGGGCTACAAGAAAATGACCTCCATGCACATCATCAACCAGCTCCCACACAAGTCCAAGGGGATCATTGACATGATGGCCGCTGCCACATAAAATGGGTGCCATGCACTTCCCCAGCCAGCTCCCATTCAAGCCAATGGGAAAGTCCACTGCAAAATGGCCACCCTTCCCATCCACCCCAATATGGCCGCCAGATCATGAGCTACAGTAAAGCACATGGCACTTGCAATGCGGCCTCCCAGACTCCAGAAGGGACCGCCACCATGCAGTACCTGCAGGGACTACTAGTAAGGCTCCCCTCCCACCCATGGATGGCAGGACAAATGAGCACAAGCTCCAGGGACTGGAAGGTAGGAGAAGAGGGAGCCCAAGCAGCGGGGACAGGCGGAAATAGCAGAGGCCTGGGGGGAGTACCCATACCCCACACAGTGCCCAAGGAGGGAAGGGAGGGAGCATCTACTTACTGACCCAGTGAAGGGTGCAATAAAGGCTCCCATGATAGATTTTCCTCTCCAGCAAAGCGGCGGGCTGTTGGCCAGTGTAACACTGTGGCACGGACTCCGACGCCTGGTCATTTGTCCCCACAAGATATTTAACTTGCTGGCTGCCCCAGTTAAGGATGAGGCTGTCACAGCCAACCCAATGTGCAACTAATGGTCTGCGTGCGCTCATTGGCCAGACTGGGGTGAGCATTGGATCTACACTCTGCACAATTATTAGGCAAGTTGTATTTTTGAGGATTAATTTAATTATTGAACATCTATAGTGCTCTCAGTCAATCCAAAATATTAATAAACCTCAAACCTGAATATTTAAGAAAGTAAAAGTGAGGTTTTGGCTTTCTTTGGAGAATATCTGTGTGCACAATTATTGGGCAACTATTAGTCCTCATGCACACTGGACGTTTTGATAAAGCTGGTAATGTTAGCAGTGTAAAGTCATGTTAAAAATGTGAGTTTTCAGCTTTTTTTTTAGCGTTTTTGCATTAGCGTTTAGCAGCGTTTTTAGCTGTTTTTGAACAAAAGTAAAAAAATTTTTGGCCCAAAAAACATCCAAAATGCTGGTTTGCGGTGTTTTATCGCATTTTGCAGCTTTAGACCATTTTTAAAGCTAAAAAAACTCCTCTAGCAACCCACTAATCCTGGGTTTATTTCCAGCCCAAAAAATGTTGATTACAGTTGTGACAGTATGAACGGCAAAGTGATGGATGGAAGATATGTGTCACCTCGTATGAGGTCATACTGTGAGGTGTAAGGTGGAGTCCACTCCGGGTTTTCGGGGCCACAATGGCAGAGGTGGTTCCGAACCAGAGTTTGAACTCCACTAATGACCACCAACAGGTGATACAAAAAGGGCAGGGCTGGAGCAAGGAGTCGCTCGTGGCCTGGGACTCAGAGAGGTATTCTGAGAGAGCTGTGTGTGCGTACTATACCTACAAGAAAAGGTTTGCTGTTGTTTTGTTTTGGGTGACAGGGAGAAGCCCTTCACCTATGAGAGAGGAATCATCTTCTGTTTAGTTAGTGCCTGGATGGCAAGGGTTTATTTTGATGTTTTGTTTATTTTGATATTTCTTGCAAACCTTTTTAATAAAAACTGACAACCAGTCAGATTTTGACGAAAGCCTGCTGTGCGGTCTACCTTTGTCCCAGGGAAGGAGATCCCCCCACTTGAGCTAATCCCACACAGTCTATGTGTGCATGGACACATAGGATAACATGCTGGGGGGGGGGTTTACTAGCTGTAGAAAAAAACATCAAAAGTCAAAAACAGCAGCTGTAAAAACGTCAAGTGTGCATGAAGAAGTCTGCAGAATTATTATGCAACTAAATGAAAATTTTCCCATCTCACTTGTTTATTTTCAAAATGTTAAAGTGACAAAAAGAAACAACTCAAAATTTACAAATAAACAATTCTGATATTTAAAAAACAAAAAAAAAACAATATAGCCACCCTTCTTTTCAATAACAGTCATAAGCCTTCCATTCATGGATTCTGTCAGTTTCTTGATCGGTTGACGATCAGCTTTTTTGCAGCAGCAACCACAGCCTCCCAGACACTGTTCAGAGAGGTGTACTGTTTTCCTTCACCATAAAGCACCCATTTCAGAAGGGCCCACAAGTTCTCAATAGGGTTTAAGTCAGGTGGGGAAGGGGGCCATGACATTATTCTTTCATCTTTAAGGGCTTTACTGGCCAGTCATGCAGTGGAGTACTTCAATGCATGCGCTATGAAGTGGAGTACTTCAATGCATGCGGTGAAGTATTGTTCTTCTTGAAAAATGCACACTTTTGACTGCACCACTGCATGAAGAAACTGTCTTTTAAAAACTGGCAGTAGGTTTGGGAGATGATTTGGGTTGAGTTCATCTTCAACCCAAAAATTTCCAACTAGCTCATCTTTAATAATACCAGCCCATACCATTATCCCACCTCCACCTTGCTGGCGTCTGAGTCGAAGTTGTGACTCTGCTGACTATTTGCACCAAAACGTTTCATGGTTCTGTGATCACACCGCAATATCTTAGCAATTTCAAGAATGCTGCATCCCTCTGAAAGATTTTTTTTACAATTTTTGACTTTTCAGAGTCACTTAAATCTCTTCTTTGGCCCATTTTGCCTGAGGAAAAGAAGCTTCCTAATAATAATGCACACCTTGATATAGGGTGATCTCCTTAGGCTTCACCCTCCCTCATTACACAAATACACATCACCTGATATGCTTAAATCCAATAAGAATTCAAGTTTATACAGTTTGGAGTTGGACAATATGCATAAAAATGTTCATTTGGTCAAAATACTCACTTGCCTAATAATTATGTACACAGTGTAGATTATCCAGGTTGTTGCCCAGCCCAGCTGTTGATTGAACGTTTCTGCACGGGAAAAAAGGACAAAAAGGAGAAAAAAACAAACCTATGGAACCACAGGACCCAGCAGTGAACTAGGACCTTACACCAGAAACACTAGGCAGAAATAACTAGCTTGCCTTTAGCAGAAAGGGGGTTTATACCAGCTAGGACTGCCCATAGGTGGTGCTGTGTTCTTCATCTGCTTAGTGTACTACTCCTGCCCTATAAACCCTATGATTGAGAATCAGAAAAGCTGTGTCCATATTTCTTCAACCGTAATCCCTACTTTCACAGTACGTGTGTGTGTATATACAAATATAAGTTATTTTAGAAATACATAAACAATGCTGAAAATACAAATATCAGTACTATACTGTTTTTATGTTCATTCTACTAAAATAAATTACAAACAAAACACACAAAGTATAAAATGTTTCTGTACTTTTTGAGCCAAATACACATAGAAATATAGGATATTTTGTACACTGGTGTGGAGAAAATTAAGAAAAAGCAAATGAACCTGACACCTGGCAGCAGGTTCCAAATAAAAAGCTACTGGCTGAAGCCTGAGCAATGAAACTGAAAGAAAGAAACTTCTGACAGACAGACAATAGAACAACCCACAATAACACAATAATAACACCAAAAGTGATAAAAGTGGGCTTATACCTGAGCATCTAAACAGAATATTTATGGCTACGCGATTTTGCTCACATGGGGAAGACTCATTCCCTATGAGATATTACAGCTGTACTAGCTGAAGACTGGGGTATTTGTCTCACCAACAAATCTCTGAACTTTGAAGTGGGCACCCAGAATGAGAACCAGCAGGTTTGGGTATGCTTCTGTTAGCTGTATGACCAGAGATGCCTTTCCTACAAAAGCGAATGAAGCGTTTAAATGTATCTTCTACTTTCCATGCACATAGCAACAGTGCCCTATGCATATGAATAGACAATACTGCCATATGAGACATTAACTTAGATACCTTGAGGAGGCCATCATAACAGAAGTGGGGGGTTTCAGAAGTTGCTTAACAAGTTGCAAAACTATAGGGCCTTGTTCTTTGATAGAGGAGTTGCTCTTAGGCTCCATGCACAAGTGTTTTTTATAGGCTTCAAAAAAAATGGTGGATGAAAAAAGCTGATAATAGTGTTTTTGTGCCAGTTTGTAGTAGTGATTTACAGTACATGAAGAAAAATAAAAAGCTGAAAAAAAAAAAAAAAAAAAAAAAAAAAAAAGGAGTTTTTCGTGTCGTTTAGAAGCATTTAGGACCATTCTAGGAGCAGGAAAAAAAATGCTAATAATAGTTTCTAGGAGCTTAAAAAAATACTAGTGTGTGTGGAGCCTTAAAGTGATTGAGTTTTTTTTCTTTTCAAATAACATGTTATACTTGCCTGCTCTGTGCATTGTTTTTGCAGAGAGCAGCCCTGATCCTCCTTTTTTTGTGTCTCGTGGCACTCCTGGCCTCCCTCCTTCAAGTGCCCCACAACAAGCAGCTTGCTATGGGGGAACTTGGGCACAGAATACATGAAGTTAAAAAAAAAACAAACAAAAAAAAAAAAAAAAAAAAAAAAAAACTTTCAGCCTTTAAAACCACTTTTTTTGCCACTAAAACTTTTCCTAAAGGTCTGCAAGGTATATATTAAAAAAAAAAAAAAATTATATTATATATATATATATATATATATATATATACACACATACATACACACATACATATACACACACACACATATATATATATATATATATATATATATATATATATAAAGATACATATATATATATATATATATAAAGATACACATATATACACACACATACACTGGATTGCCAAAAGTATTAGGACACCCCTCCAAAAAATTGGATTCGGGTGTATTCCAATCACCTCCAGGGCCACAGTTGTATAAAATCAAGCACCTAGGCAAGCAGGTTGCTTCTACAAATGTTTGTGAAAAAATGGGTCACTCTCAGGAGCTCAGTGAATTCAAGCGTGGTACTGTGATAGGTTGCCACCTGTGCACTGTCCATCTGCAAAATTTACAAAAACAGTTGTATAAAATCAAGCACCTAGGCAAGCAGGTTGCTTCTACAAATGTTTGTGAAAAAATGGGTCACTCTCAGGAGCTCAGTGAATTCAAGCGTGGTACTGTGATAGGTTGCCACCTGTGCACTGTCCATCTGCAAAATTTACTTGCTACTAAATAGTCCACGCCCAACTGTTAGTGGTATTATAACAAAGTGGAAGCAACTGGGAACAACAGCAACTCAGCCATAAAGTGGTAGGCCACGTCAACTGACAGAGTAAGGTCAACGCATGCTGAAGTGCACAGTGCGTAGAAGTCACCAACTGTCTGCAGAGTCAATAGCTAAAGACCTCCAAACAGACTAGCACAACAACAGTGCATAGAGAGCTTCATGGAATGGGTTTCCATGGCTGAGAAGCTGCATCCAAGCCTTATACCACCAAGTGCAATGCAAAGCGTCGGATGCAGTGGTGTAAAGCATGCCGCCACTGGACTCTACTGCAGTGGAGAAGTGTTCTTTGGAGTGACGAATCACGCTTCTCTGTCCGGCAATCCGATGGATGTGTTTGGCGGTTGCCAGGAAAACGGTACTTGCCTGATTGCATTGTGCCAAGTGTAAAGTTTGGTGGAGGGGGGGTTTATGGTGTGGGACTGCATTTCAGGGGTGGGGCTTGGCCCTTAGTTCCAGTGAAGGGAACTCTTAAGGCGTCAGCATACCAGGATGTCTTGGACAATTTCATGCTCCCAACTTTGTGGGAACAGTTTGGGGACTTCCTGTTCCAACATGACTGCGCACCAGTGCACAAAGCAAGGTCCATAAAGACATGGATAACCGAGTTTGGGGTGGAGGAACTTGACTGGCCTGCACAGAGTCCTGACCTAAACCCGACAGAACGTGAAATGGGATGAATTAGAGCTGCAACTGTCAGCCGGGTCTTCTTGTTCCGACATCAGTGCCTGACCTCACAAATGTGCTTCTGGAAGAATGGTCAAACATTCCCATAGACACACTCCTAAACCTTGTGGACAGCTTTCCCAGAAGAGTTGAAGGTGTTATATCTGCAAGGAGTGGGCCAACTCAATATTGAACCCTACGGACTAAGCATGGGATGCCATTGAAGTTCATGTGCATGTAAAGGCAGGGTCCCAATACTATTGCCAATATAGTGAATGTACAAAAGCACGAAAGTCCATGGAAAAAATATGTACAAAAATATGTCCATGAAGAAACAACAACGGTATCTCAGACTCACAAGAGGTATTGATCAGAATACACAGTGCAATATCAGGGCATTACACGTAGAGGAACAACATGTACCCAACAGAGTTCAAAAGAAAGCTTGATCTGCAGCAAGGGGGAACAAAAAACAAACAAAAAAAAAAAAGGCGGGGGGGGGGGGGTGATAATGTTTGCACAGACAAAAAAAAAAAAAAAAAAAAGTGAGAGGGGAAGGATAAAAAGGGAAATAGAGTGGTGGAAGTGGAGAAACAAAAGGGGAAAATAGGCAATTAATGTAGTTAGTCAGAGAACGCACAGTTCAGTACCAACAAAGGCAGCTTAGGAAGGACAGAGATTAGACCATAGCACCCAGTGCATTAACCCAGCAACTCCAAACATTATCCAACTTATGAGGGCAAATTTTACTAGGGTAAGTCAGTTTGTACAGGGACTGGGTTCCATTGATAACTGCTTTCCAGCCTCTAACAGTAGGGGGTAGAGGACCTCCTCCACTTTCTCTCCTTGCCTAATAAGCTGAATAAAACACAAAAAGATTTTCATTTTACTATGCACCACACCCCTCCACAAGGCCCAGTAACCATAAGTGCAATGGAAAAACAGAACGGTTGGCCGCACAAACAGCAATGTGGTGGATGAAATCCTTTATTGGAATCCTTTAAAAGCAATATGATAAGAACATGACAGCTCCAAGACAGGACAGAGGAGCAGTAGCATGGGCAGCACAGTGGCTAAATGGTTAGCACTTCCGCCTGGCAGTACTAGGGTCGTTGGTTCGAATCCCAACCACGACACCACCTGCCTAGAGTTTGCATGTTCTCCCTGTGCCTGCATGGCTTTCCTCCGGGTACTCCGGTTTCCTCCCACACACCAAAAGACATGCTGGTAGGTTAATTGGATCCTGTCTATATTGGCCCTAGTATGTGTATGTATGAATGTGAGTTAGGGACCTTAGATTGTACACCCCTTGAGGGTTAGGGACTGATGTGAATGTACAATATATATGTAAAGCACTGCGTAAATTGACGGCGCTATATAAGTACCTGAAATAAATAAATAAATAAATAGATGGGTTTCACACGAACACGTGCTTAGTCATTACTGATTTTCACTTGTCAGAGGAAGCGTAAAACAGAATAGAACAGCTGATGATAATTGATAATTAAACTGGAATCAGGAATAACATAGTATACATATCACGACACAGCTTTAAAAACATGACACATATACTGACAGAAATGAAAACGCACCTCTGATATGCGTCATACCTAGCAATCCAATGCACCACATTTAAAATTTCCCTGAAAGTGGAGCCAAGAAGTAGATGAAATCGATGCTCGATTGAAAAAAACTTGGGTATAAAGTCCTACCCAGAGAAGGTGCCCTTCTGGAAATAAATGTTAATACCCTTGTTCAGGATTTTGGAACAAATATTGTCATTGTATAAAAATTGGTAAATATTTATTGACTTTATTATTTATTTGTCCAAATTCTGAACTGTAAGACAAAACCAAAGAAGGACAACTAAATGTATCCGATTGTTTTTTCCTAGTACCTCTGATCTATCTTTTTGTTTTGCAATACCATAGGCTCTATCAAGAGCTCGATGAAACAAAGATTGTGATTCCCATTCACGTCATAGGTGCAAAAACTGTCCCACAGGTATTCCTTTAATGGAATCTCTGGGGTGGCTTGATTGTGCTAAAAGGAGATTATTACCTGCCAAAGGTTTCCTATATAATTTGGTAATGACTTGTCGATCTTTTGCAACCAAACAAACATCCAGGAATTCAATTGTATCTTTATGAGATTGACCAGTAAAAGAACAAAACTACAGTTGTTCTGATTCAAATATTCCAGGAACATGTCTGGCTGCATCTCCCTACCACTGCTGATCAACAACAGATCATCAATACAGTTGCAAGAAAAAGTATGCGAACCCCTTGGGATTACGTGGAGTTTTGCATGAATTGGGCATAAAATGTGCTCTGAACGTCATCTAAGTCACAACAATAGAAGAACACAGTCAGTCTGCTGAATATAATACTACACAAACATTAGATGTTGCCATGGTTTAATTGCACATAACATGTAAACATTCACAGTGCAGTGAGGAAAAAGTATGTGAACCTTTGGACTTAATAACTGGTTCACAGTTATTAAGGCCAAAGGAGGGTCAACCTGTTATTATTAAGTCCAAAGGTTCACATACTTTTTCCTCCCTGCACTGTGAATGTTTACATGTTATGTGCAATTAAACCATGGCAACATCTAATGTTTGTGTAGTATTATGTTCAGCAGACTGTGTTCTTCTATTGTTGTGACTTGGATGACGTTCAGAGCACATTTTATGCCCAATTCATGCAAAACTCCACGTAATCCCAAGGGGTTCACATACTTTTTCTTGCAACTGTATATCTATAAAATGTCATGATCTGACCCCTGAATGGATTACTACCGGCAAAAAATGTGGGACCGCTCCCACCAAACCATGTATAGGTTGGCAAGTGAGGGCAAAAACTTAGCCCCCCCATCGCTGCCCCACATCTCTGTAGATAGAAAACATGATCAAAAACAAAATAATTATTTTGTAACAAATATTATAGGGTTGTTTCTCCCCCCCTTCTACCTTCCTGTCTGCACCGTACACAATAAGGGTTTTATGTATCCCTGCTTATTATGCCAGTTCCAAAGTTTATAGATCTGTGATTTATTCTAGGTACGATACATATCAGAGGTGCGCTTTCATTTCTGTCAGTATATGTGTCATGTTTTTAAAGTTTTGTCATGTGATTTGTATACTATTCCTGATTCAAGTTTAATTGCCAATTGTCATCAGCTGTTTTAAGCTTCCTCTGACAGGTGAAAATCAGTATTGACTAAGCACGTGTTCATGTGAAACGTGTCTACTGCTCCTCTGTCTTGGAGCTGTCATGTTCTTAAATTGTACTTAAAGGATTCCAATAAAAGATTTAATCCACCACATTGCTGTTTATGAGGCCAACAATTGTGTTTTTACATTGCATCTGTGATCACGGATCGGGCCAGCACCTGCTTGTCTGTGGAGGGGTTATGCAGATTCGGCACTCACCTGGAGCGGACCTTTTGCTCGCCAAGTAACCATAAGGCAGGATCCAAGGGGAGAAAAATCTTGCCCACTGCATTAACGATATCAGCCACACCACTCCAATAGTGTTGTATTTCAGGACAGAGCCAAAAAATATGAAAGCAAGTACCAACTTCCGTTTCACAGCGAAAGCGGGTATTTGAGGTCCCAGGGTAAATTTAAAACGTTGAGGGGTGTACTAAACACGATGAAGGAATTTCAGTTGGAAAAAGAGGTCCCTGGAGGAAATCATAATTTTCAAGAACTGGAGTACACAGTCCTCCCAATCATCTGTCAAAGTAGGGATATCAGCCTGTCATTTAGTGAATAAAGCCGTCATTCTAGGTAAGGTCAGGGGAGATAACAGAGTAAAGCACTGACAGTGGCTTAGAGAGATCTGCAGAGGATAGCATAATTTCCAACAGGTCAGTAGCCACTGAAATACAAGGCAACTGAGCAACGGACGCATGGCGAAGCTGTAGAAACCGAAAAAAACATGGCTATGCAAGTGATAACGGTCTTGTAGCTCATTAATGGATGATGGGGAGCCTTGTGGCATAATGCGTTTCAGTAGTGTAATTCCATGTCAGCTGCATATTGGGCCCTAGCTTGTTTCCACACAAGAGGAGTCAGTTTAATCAGGACTGTAATCTCAGGGGTAGACCGAGGTCCTTGATAAGGCAAGTTACTAAGGGTCGCAAAGGAACCCAACAAGGGGGCTTTAGGTGTAATGGCAGCATTGTCTTTAGGCTGCACAAACCACCAGCAAACCATCGCAAGTCAAGTGGGAGATGCAGTAGTATGATTTAGCAAGTCAAGGGAGGTGTCCAGGCTATACAAAATAAGTAATTGTCTTATCTATTCTGGCAAAGAAAGTTTTACAACCACTTAAAAGATGTAATTCT